GCCAGAAGACCACGACAACGGATAAAGAGGATATGTGTGTCCGGTCCGAGAGCCTCGTTAATGGCAGCACGCTCGGCACTGACATCGACAGAGGCGGCATTTCCACTTTCATTCGGGTTTTCAATACCAAGAGCTGTAGTGCCATTATAGTAGGCTACATCGCCGAGAATTATCGCCTCCTGAGACAGGGGCAGGAGACCACTTTTCATGCACGAAACCTGAGTCAAGTAAGTGAGAAAGGCTTTAGGTTTCCTCTCACGTGGGATTTTTAGGAGATAGCATAAAGGAGTGATTATTAAAACAAGCGCAGAAGAGTAAGGGAACACTAAATACAGACGTAGAATTAGCAATGGAGCCTATAAACATTGTGCGAAAATTTCGAGGGAAAAACAAAATCGTTGTTTTGGATAAAGGATCATTGATGGTGGAGAAACGAATGGCGGTTTATGTACATTACGTAATGCTACAACCATACCGTTGGACACTTTATGGCCAGAAGCTGAACTGAAAGAAATTATGCATCAGTTGGGTTTTGCAGATAATGCCAAACTGGGAACGCAGTAACGCAATCGATAAGTGACTACCAGACATGATGAATGACAAACTGTTGCTCGTTATGCAACCTATACAATCATATTACGGCCGACGGCTTGCCGAATGCAAACGCCATTGCAACGCAGAAATTTGACATAAATATCAAAAGTAAACATGGCCAAGGTAGACTTGTTGCAAGGATAAGACACTAGTATGCTGATTTAAATAACGTCGAATGAGGTTTTATCTTACCGCGATCGTTGCCGGGGTGTCCAGGTGTATTACGCATCTAATATCTGGGCGGGCTGCGTGCACAGCTGAGTGAAGAAGCCAGCCAGTTTGGTGTACACCAAGGACAGTTGACCCAGGATCGAGGATCTGTCCTATAAAGTTTAGAGGAATCAAGAAGAACAAGAACATAAACCAACCTTGACTATCCAGTTTTATGAGGGATGAAGCAGTTACTTCGTGGTAAAGAAGGCCAAATGGGTTGATAAGGAAGTGCTCTTCGTTGCGACTTAGGCGAACCTAAAAAAATACTTGCATTAAAAACATCCGAGACTAGAGAGAGTACCGTTGCATGATTGTAAATGCTCGTGTTCCAGCCAAACAGATCAATCAAACGGTAGACGCAGGCAAGCTTGCATCGTAGTAATCGCTCTCGCCTGGAGTAGTAACTGGCATCGGCTCCACGTAGATCATTGATGGGAATGACACCAGCCTGACCACCTTGAAGAAAGAAAGTGGTATGCATTATTCACTGGGTATATGCATGTCGATCGTTAACGGCTCGGATTCCAGAACTATTTCATCATAGCTATCAATATGCTTGTTTCGATGATCAGGGGATCAGCATTCAAGTAGAGGGTATGAAAATATGCTGTGCGTAAAGCGGACATTTGCGGCAGCCATAAAGAGCGGGCAAAATTAACCTACGCACTAAGGCGACCCCTAGGCACAATTGCATTTTCTGTAAAATGTGTGGAAAAAAGCAAGATAACTAGCATCCACTTAAGTAGATCCAATGCTTTTATACTTGCAAAAGCTTCGCCAAAGCAGGGTTCTGGTCAGCTTATGGAAGCCAGATGCGAGTTTCTATCTGCCTTCTCACAACCGAATCGGTCGCCGACCGGAGCTTGGTTCCCTAATGGGATGGAGATTTCTGCGTATAATCATTTAAAAAAACTTTCCAGCGGGACATCACCGAGATCAAACGCGACCCCGGCCGAAGTCTACAAAGGCAGCGGCCTGGGGCCCTGATACATACTCGTCTCATCCATTTCCACTGTCCGCACTGCCCACACTGACCCTATTCCTCGCAGAAAAAATTAACCAGCTCGGAAATTGGACGGGTCCCTGTAATTGGGAGCAATAAGGTCGACTGTATCAGTGCATGTACTTTACTATAAACAGACTGACGCACTTTAAGCTATCACGATGTGCTAAAAGCCGTAGCTTGGAAAGTTGCCGATTGAAGAAGTAATGCAGGCCTCGCAGTCAGCACGGTGTACAATGGCTGACCGGCATACCGAGTTAAGCTGCAACGATTATTTCCTAGTTTGGTCGCTCTATATGATAAAAGCCAGGTGCACCAGCACTCTAAGAAGCCACCCCAGCCACTTGCGCCTCCTCCTGCCTCAAGTTTTCTCGACTTGGTCAAGACTTGGATTTAGGAAGGAGACGAGAGAGTGCGATAAATTCTCGCAAGTCTAATATTACTGCAAACTAAATAACGTGCAAATAATCGTCCCTATTCCACCATGAAATGGGGCTGACGTTTTACATTGTCGTCAGCGACGATAGAACTGTCACGTAAACCAAGTTTAACTACGACCTCGATTCAGCGGATGCACTCTCAATTTTCGAGACATCGGGTTGATATTAGAAAGCCGCTGATTTTAACTTAACAGGAGCTTACAACATTACTTCTGCAGTCGCATACATGACAAGCATCCGTGGGATGAACTGTGCGGTATGCCCGACTTTAAACAGAGTGAACGCTCGAAAATCATAGATAGGAAATTATTATCAACGTATAGAGGTGGTACCAATAAATTCCAGAACAAAACATATGTGACATTGTAAAACCTAGTGCTGTTTTAACTGATTCGTCGACAAAAGCTCGAAAGCAGGTGAAATCACTGAATAAAGCATGCGTGTACTCTACAAAATAAGGGCTTACTTGGTGGGAATGTGAGATTACGAAAATACCGAGTTACGTGTGCAAATCAGACTCAACAAAAAAGGATGTCTCGAGGCTTTGAGTAAACGCTATAAAATGAAGCGCTGAAGCAGACGACTGCGAATTATGAAATAGTTGAATTTTTGAGGCAGGACTGTGGCCACACACCAACAACACAATTGGAGAAATGGCTCTTATCGTATTTACTGTTTGAAAATAGGGGGTGTTGCCATAAAGTAACCAAAACTGGACAACAGAATGCGACAGAATACTGATCGGCCGCAAAACAGCAGTGCTAGTGGATAATTTTTGGTAGAAGAGAAGGCTACTCCGGCAATATAATAAGAAGTAAAGCGAACACAAACGCAAATCTAATCACGACACAACACAGTGGGTGAACAGAACGCGCACTGACGATAAGAACCAGGGTATTTACAGCCCGCATTATTACATTGAGGAGTAATTAAAGCAAAAAATACAAAATGGGATGGAAAACTGCTATAGACCTGATCCATTACTTTCAAAACCGCTGTCTTACAGTTCAGCCAGACCCCCTCAGGGATATATATTCGATTGCAGATGG